GATCACTTGAGCCCAGGTGTTTGAGGTTGCTGTGAGCTAGGCTGACGCCACGGCACTCACTCTAGCCCGGGCAACAAAAGCGAGACTCTGTCTCAAAAAAAAATTGTTGAGTGCCAATTTATGATAGGCAGCCATATTCTCACACGTATAGCCAAGTTATTAGCATCTAAGATTCCTGGAACCCCCAATTTACTCAGTCTCCAAAAAATACCGATAATTTCATAAAAACTCTTGGCTAAGAAAGAAGAGTAAAAGAAGCAGGGAAAAGTACCAGGTTGGATTTGAGATTAGATAAAGAGAAGACCAACCAAAGGTTTAAGATGGGTAGAACTATGTAGCAAAGACAAAAGAAAGACTCCACTCCAACAGGCATCACAAACTCAAAAGCTTTCTGGGGTCAAGGAGGTAATGTGAATAAGTAAGTAAGGCCATTAAACTGTAAGCTGAAGATGCCTGAGATGAAACTAGGGAGGAGGGGGAGGATATGGCCATAATTGGAGAAATCAACCAGAAGACACAACACCCTGAGAAAGCCCCTGAGGCTACCCAGTCTCTAGCAAATGTGCCTTACACGATGAACACACAGGACTAAGAGGAGCTGAGGATAGCATGGGGGACAGTTTAGGGGTAAATCTAGTCACCCAGCAGACTGGTAGGGAAGGTAATACCAAGGATTTTGTCTGGACGTAAAGGGTCTACCCTAGATTTATTCTTTATTAGCTTTCAATTATGAGACCATTTTTATTTTCTGTTTTGAACACTTACTTTGTATGGCCCATTTGTGCAGCTGCATGAATAGGTAACTGCCAATTGTCTTCATTACAGTAAAGATCAGGATCTGCCCCACTGGACAGCAAAAGCTCCACACATTTTGTGTGACCCTCTTGAGCAGCAATAAACAAGGGAGTAGCTTTGTCCAAGGCTTGACAATTGACATTTGCACCTAATACAGAATAAAGCATATAACAGATAATTCTCATTTATGTTTAAAAAAAAGTGATAATCAACATAAATTTCAAAGCAACTGCCATAAAAGGGTTTCATAGTACAATAGCTTTCCCCCCTCATTAGATGTTGTTGTATAAATATACTTATTTTGCTTACTTCTTGGTAATCATTAAATTGTTTTTGCTTTTATGTCAGCAACAAGTGATTCATATTTGAGAATTCATTTTTAAGTTAAAACAAAAATCTCATTCAATGAAGGATTCATTTCATTACAATCCCTCCTCCAACAAGCACTCTGTAGGTCCAACTAAGTACACGTTTAAAAGTAAAAAATGCAAACCATCAAACATGGATAACATTTCTAATAATTACTGAAAAAGAAAACTTAAATTGTAAGACTTTACAGATGCCACTAATTGATTCAGGCTAAGATTTTTGAAAAATATTACCAACAGATACGACATACTTGGGAGCTATGCCTTAAAAATAGTATTGACTATGCTCTTTCTTACATCTCTTTCTTCATGACCACTGCATGATAAATAAAGCCTACAATAAAAGGAAAAGGGTCTCTGAGATTTTGAAAATCATAAATCTAATCAAGTTATTTAGATACCAGTATATAAAAGATTTGAAAATGCTGAATTCAAGTTTCATGAAGGTTTTGAAAATAGGAGACATCCTCAAACTTTTCTTGTTGGCAAATAATGTATTAAATGTGCTAAGTATGGCATCATTACATGACTATGAGAATTTTTAAATTTCTGGAATATATCTCAGTGGAAAATCATCATCAAGGGGGAAGAGAGTATCTTTTATTTAAAAGAATATTCCATAAACGCACCTTGAATAAGCTAAAGCCCTGAGATGAGTAAAAACTATACAAAACACAAATGGTAAGTTAAAGAGTCTAGGGAACTTTCAGAAATTCTAAATCCTAGACAACTAGAACCTTGACTTACATGAGGTGGATGCTTTACCTGCTATTGGCTTTAGAAAGAAGTAAACACCATAACTGAGAAAAGACTAAGTCAAGAAAGAAACTTTCTTAACTTTTTTTTTAAATCAATACATTTGAGTGACAATTTCAAAGGATCAGAAAGAATAAGGAACCAGTCCCTATAAGACTACAGGTGGGAAAGATGGAAAACTGAGAGGCAATTCACTGAAAGAAACATCATTT